TCATAACAACCCTGTCAGCCACAGTAGAACTGCTCCTGGGGGTTTCCGAGACTCTGAATTCTTTTCAGGAGTAGAAAACCTCAACTTTCTCCCACTTATTGTTTCAGGAAAGTAGCTTTAGGGGTCCATCCACCCTCCCAGCTCCAGAAAGTCTACAGCCCGAGATGCAAATAAAAACAGAGCCTGTGCTTATGCATTACTGTCCATCCTAACTCATGGTGATCCGTGGATGTCAGATCAGAACTGCACTCCACAGGGTTTCCCTCACGAACATCAGCCCACTGGGCCTTCTGAAAACATGTGCCTGGAGCAGTGTGAAGCACAATGTAACTGTAAGAGCAGACATAGAGCAGGCACTGACAGAATAAAAGGAAGCTATGACAGAATGAGAAGTAAAAAGAAAGACCATACATAGCAATAGATACAGAAAAAGCATTTGAAAAAAAATCTCTCATTTATTTCTCATAACCTACATAAAAGTACTTAAGAATGTAAGAGTATAAAGAGGTCCTGAAACAAAAAGATAGGTATTTGTCCCATTTTTTTCTTTCTTTCTTTCTTTTTTTTTTTTTTTGGCCTGTTGGATGGGGTGGGGGCCGCTGGTCCTTTTTGTTAGTTTGCAATTTTATTACTTTTCTTTTGAATAGATTAATTTTTGTTTGTTTGTTTTTTCTTGTTTATCCTAACTCTAACCCTAACCATATTGTTTGTTTTAATTCTAATTTCTCTTAGGTACTTGATTATTAGCTATGCTTCTTGGTTTTTAGTGGTTTCTCTAAGGTTTAAAATATGAATCTTCAGTGCTTCACAATTAACCTTTAAATAATATATCATTTCAGATACAGTGTAAAGCCTTCAATAATATGTTTCAGTTTTCCTACATGTTCTTCCATAACATGTGACATACATCCCATGGTATATTGTTTCTACTTTTGCTTTACCCACTCTGTAAGATATTTTAGATTCACTGTCATTTAAAATGTGTGATGCTCTTTATTACCTTAATACTTAGTATTCATTCATTTAGATCTAAGTTCCATCTCATGTAATTTTTTTCCACTTGAAAATTTTCCTTTTTGCCAACTTTTAGTGGGGAGGAAGAGATGCGAGTGGAGGTGGAACCCTGGAGATGTAGTGGGTTGCACTGCATGTTGGGCTGTTAACCCTCAAGGTTATAGGTTGGAATCCAGCAGCCCTCTTTGGGAACAAGATGAGGCTTTCTACTCTGTAGACATGTCTATTCCTTGAAGTCGCTCCGAAACCCACAGGGCAGTTCTACTCTACCCTATAGGGTTGCTGTGAGTTGGAATCAATTCAATGGTATTGGGTTCTCTGAAAAAAATGTTTTATTCCACTTTTAGTTTTGAAGAATATATTCATCATATATAGCATTCTATGTAGACCATATTTTTCTTTAAGCATTTAAAAGATGTTGCTCCATTTTCTTTAATCTTATATAGTCTCTCAAGAAAAGTGTGTGTTGTTTCTTAATCTTTGTACTCTGTATGTTTCCTCTCACTTCCTGTAAAGTGTCTCATTTTTACTGTTTTTCAGGAAGTGGATTATATGTGTCTATCCTGGTGCTGTAGGAGGAGGAGGCGTAGTGTGTTTCCTCCTCGAGGAGGGCTTAGTTATGTTTCTTGGGTCTGTGAATCTACAGGAGTGTCCGTTTGGAAACTGTCCTATCATTTCTTCAAATACTTTTCCTCTGACAATTGCAGCACACTTTTATTAGACTGCGTACGAGCATCTGTTCTTTTCCTTTGTTCTTTGGTCCTCTCCTTTCCCTCCCCTTCCTCTTCGTTGCCTTTTACTGTGTTTCAGTTTGGGTACTTCTTATTGCTGTCTTCCGACTCTTACTTTTTTCTGTGCTGTTTAATCAAAAGCAGTGATAATTTCGCTGCAAATGTGCTTTTGAAACTCACGAACTGTAATTGAGTTGATTCTGGGTCTTGGTGGTGGCCCTAGAGGACAAGGTAAAACTGTGCTGGTGGGTTTCTGAGACTGTGTTTGACAGGAGCAGAAAGTCTCTTGTCTTTTCTCCTGCACAGCAGCTGGTTGCAAACTGCTGACCTTGCAGTTAGCAGCTCAAACCCTAGATGTTATTGTTGGTACTTTTTAATGCCTTCCATTTTTCTCTTTATTATGTTTTATAAAATTTAAGTACTTTTACAATAGCATTATTAATTTTAAACTGTTGAGTAGTAACAGTTTTTATTTCTTTTTTCTATTTGTTTTCTTTAAAAGAATTGTAGGCTCTGTTTTGACAGGCATTTGAATTATCCCATATGGCTTATTGTTAAAGCTTTGTTATAAAGCAACTAGCGTTGTCTTTACTCTAAAGCTGTTAACCCTGCTAACAGGATATATTTCTTTTTTTTTTTTTTTTTTTGAGATTAAAAGTGAATACCTGTTTTTTGAGGAGAATAAATTTTCTGGTCTTAACTCTGTTATATCCTAGCACCACGTAAACTCTGGGAATTAATTTATTCTTTATTTTACCTCATGGAGTTTCATTCTGCATTCATGGTTTATTTTTATTGTCTGACCACAACCTGAAGTGGACCTCTGTACCGATTTTTAGAATTTTCTATATATGGCTCTCTCTCTACTCTGCTGTACTTCTGAACTCTACTTGAGTTCTTCCTCTTTGTACCAGTCTGAAAAATGCCTCCATGTAGAAAGGCAAGTAGTTTTAGGCCTTACTCATTTCTTTCCGTCTTTCAGAGATCACGATCCCTCGGTGTTCGTTAAGCAGTGTGATTGTTTTGTCAGGTTTTCTACTTGTGGCCCATAAATCCATTCCCAGTTATCCATCATGACCTAAACTGCAAACATTTTTTTATTGCAAACTCTTGTCTTCTCTTCATGCTTATGAAGATAAGCATCTCCATATATAAGGTTCATATTCTGGTTTTTCCCCCTCTAGCAATTTGGGCCTTAGAGGCCTGCCTATAGAATTTATATAGTCTCATCCTTATTCTCCCATTTTCATCCTAGTTGCTTTGATTTTTCTTTTTTACTTGTAGTAAGATAACAGTTATGAAGCTCAGAACCATACATTGCTTTCTTTTGCTCATGAGCTTCTATGGGTTGGAACCTGCATGAAAGCACCTAGCGAGAAGATGTACATAGCATAAAGGTTGCCATTCTAACCATTCTCAAGTGTAAGATCTACTGGCATTAATCACACAGTATTATGCAACTGTAATCACTGTTTGTTGCCAAAGCATCTGCGTCGCCACCAATAGAAATTCTGTGTCCATCAAGTAATGAAGCCCCATGCACCCTGGCCCCAGCCCAGCTCTGCCTTGGAGTTGACTCCTACTCAGAGCAACCCTCCAGGAAGCACACGAGAACTAACTGCCTTTTGGGTTTCTGTGGATGTAAACCGTGGGAGCAGAAAGCATCCTCTTTCTCCCACGAAGCAGCTGGTGGTCTCCACTGCCGACCTTGCAGTGAGCAGTAATGGCATAACCCACTATGCCACCAGGACTCCTTAATCTACTTTCTGGTTCTAGGCCCTTTTCATGTAAATGAGACATGCAATGACAGTATAATATTTGTCTTTCTATATGTGGCTCACGTAGCATAATGTTATTCAAGATTTATCCATATTGTAGTGTGTATTAGACATCTGGTCTTTTTATGGCAGAATATAGTCTGTAGTGTACATATATACCACATTTTGTTGTCATTCGGCTATCGCTGGATCTGTGGACTGTTTCTCCTGCCTAGCAAGCAGCAGCAAAACAAACCCATATATTCTTTAAACATTAGTGTGTACGTCTCTCAGAGTTCCTGCTTTCAGTTCTTCTGGGCATATGCTTAAAAGTAGAATTGCTGAGTCTTAGGATAAAGGACCTCTGGTGGCACTGGAGATAACCCTGGAATTTCAAACCCTAAGGTCAGTGGTTCAAAACCACCAGCTGCTCTGCTGGAAAAAGATGATGTCTGTTTCCATAAAAGTATATTGTTTTGGAAATGTTTTCAAGGGTCACTATGCGTCAGAATCACCTTGATGGCAATGGGTTTGGTTTGGGACTTTGGTTGATGGTAATTATATACCAGTTTTTTGAGAAATTTCCAAATTGTGTACCACAGAGACTATACAACTTTACAGTCTCATCAACAATAGTGTATTTCTTCTTTGAACAAATGTCTATTTAAGGACCATTTTTTAATTGGATTATTTTGTGAGATGTAGGAATTCTTTTTTTTTTTAATTATTTTATTGGTGTCTCGTACAATTCCCATCACAGTCCATACATCCATCCATTGTGTCACGCACACATGTACATTTGTTACCCTCATCAATCTCAAAACACCTGCCTTCCACTTTAGCCCTTAATATCATTTGTTCATTACCCGCCTCCCCGAGATGTAGGAATTCTTTATGTATTCTGTATATTAAACCCTTATCAAGCATATAATTTAAAGAAATTTTCTCCCATTCTATCTGTATGTTATCTTTTCACTTTCTGGATAATGTCCTCTGAGCATTCTAATGATTTTTGAGGTGACATTTTGCATGGTTCAGCTGTAACACAATAATGACCAAAATATAGAAATTAATGTATGATATTTTGAACAAATAAAATAAGTGTATTTTTAAAGCACAATAATTTAGATGACAGCGATAATAGCTGTACAAGTCCCCAATAAAATGATGTAAAATTTTTTTTTAATTTAAATGATAACCTTTTCAAAAATTTGCTTCGTGCGAATAATTGTAACTACTGGTTTTAATTATCTTGTTTTCTGATCACTCTTTAGAGGTAGCGTGAATAGGCTAATAACTGATGCCAAGCCAGAGCTGATCGTATCTCTATAGCTTCTGTTAAAAATCTGCATAATTTTGCCATGTAGACTTTCTTCTTGTTTGTCTTATGGAAAAAAGCAAACCATAACAAAACAAAACCCTATATTACTCAATGCAACTGTTTTACATCGTTAGAAATTTCTCAGTTTATATGTTAACCTTGTTTTAACTTTTTGTTTTCCAGATTGTCAGTATTTAAGCAGACCACAACATGCGTGAGTACAAGCTAGTGGTCCTTGGTTCAGGAGGCGTGGGGAAGTCTGCTCTGGTAAGTTAGCCACCTAACTCTAACTAATTAGTGCAGTTTTAGAAGAACTTTGATGTGTGCTTACTTTCAGATTTTGAGACCTAAGTAGAAAGTGTCCTGGAGGCACAGTGTTTAGGTGCTTAGGTAACGCAAAGGTTGGTAGTCCAAACTCATCCAGTGGCTCCATGGGAGAAATAGCCTGATCACTTATACCCTTAAAAATGGAAGGCTGGGAAACCTTCTGGAGCAGTTAGTTCTCCTCTGCCATGTAGTGTGAGTATGGTTGGAATCATCTCAAAGGTGCACAATAAAACAGTCCTAAATAGAAAAGTTAGCCATGTTTTCTTGAATCTTAAAATGTATTCTACAGGGGCAGTGAATCTTTGAAGAACCACAGGTATATAGTATTATAATGGTGTTCATTGATCTTTTCTGTTCCTAAATATTTATTGGCTAATATATGTCAGACACTAGTGTTCATGATTCAAAGAGGAATAGTATTGTTATTTCATTAAGGAACTCTGTTGGCATGATGGTTAAGTGCTTGATTGCTGATAAGTCATTGGTTCAAATCCACCAGATGCTCCTGAGAAGAAAGATGCAGGAGTGCTCTCCTGGACAGATGTATAGCCCTGACACCCTATGGTGCTGTGCTGCTCTACAGGGGACCACTATTACAGATGCTAGGGGAATAAATCCTGCATGGCCCTCATTCCAGACTTAAGTAGAATGAAGATTATTTTGTTGTATGCATGCTATATTCATTGATCAATTTATATTCATTGAACATCTAAAATGTCAGGCCCTGGGATGACAACAGTCGCAGTCCTTCATGGAGCTTATCGTTTAATTGGAGGTATATAATAGACATGCATAATATGAACCAAATACAGAAAACATAATTTTAAAAATACTTAATTATAAAGATGAAAGAGATACTCTGAAAGTAAAGTGTAGATTACTAAGAGAAAGCCTAGTGAACCTAAATTAGCATTGGAACAACTCAGAGGTCATTGTCTTAGTTTCTTCCTCTACTATAACAGAAGTATCATAAATGGGTAGTCTTAATAAAAATTGTATTCTCTCACAGGTTAGGAAGCTAGATGTCCAAATTCAGGGTGTGCTGGCTCTAGGGAAAGGTTCTTCCTGGTCACCTGGGTAGAAAATTCTTCCCCCTTGTAGCTTCTTATCTTCAGTTCCTTGGTGATCTCCACCAAGCTTGGATCTTTACCCCCTTTGTGCCAACTTGCTGCTGTGCCTAATCTCCTGTTTTTATCAGAAGTAATTAGTTTAAGAGACAGCTGATATTGGTGTGACCTCATTAGTACAACAAAGAAGTCCTTGTTCCCAGCTGGAATTGCATCCACAAATATGGGGATTAAGATATACAGCACAGGTTTTTGGGAGAAGCCATTCAGATGGTGTGTCTCAATGGTTCTCAACCTGTGGGTCACCTAAGACCATCGGAAAACACATATTTCCAATGGTCTTAGGAATCGAGACACTGCTCCTGGGTCCGCCCACATGCAGATATACTGATCTGGTGAGAAAGAAGCTATTTCAACCTTGGCACTGGCATTGGCTTTGTATGCATACTGTTGCAAAATGTAGCAATGTCGTTTACTATTGTTATATTAAGCCCGTTAGCCCTGCTACACCATGCTTCAAGACACAACTTCATTTATTTGTAATTAGAAGTAAATATTTCACAATATATAATTATATATTGGTTTTGTGATTAATCACTATGTTTTCATTATGTTCAATTTGTAACAATGAAAATACATCCTGCATATCAGATATTTACATGATGATTCATAACAGTAGCAAAATGACAGCTATGAAGTAGCACCAAAAATAATTTTATGGTTGGGGGTCACCACAACAAAAGGAAAACTGTATTAAAGGGTTGCAGCATTCGGAATGTTGAGAACCACTGGTGTATCTGAAGTAGGAGTGAGCCAAGAGGGGAGCAGAGAGAAATGATGTAAGAGGTAGGCAAGGGGGCCAGCTCATGGCTTGAAAACCATATAAAAACTTGGGACATATTCCTAATACCAATGAGAAGCCATCCAAGATGGATTTTTGGAGTTTTTTGTTTGGTTTTAGAGAGGGGTGCAGGTGAACAGAGTGGTATGTACATTTTACAGCGAGCACGTTGCTCGGTGTCGAGTCGAGTGGGCGAATGACAGGGTAGATAGATAGATGTGGGAGACTGGTTGGGAGCTCATGCAGTACACCGAATTATTTGTTATAGAAGCTTGATTAGGGCATGGCAGTGAAGAAGAGAGAAGTGGATAGGTTAGAAAGTTAAGTAGGGGATACAATTGCTAGAATGTAGTGCTGAATTGACATGAGAACTAAGAGAAAGGAACTGTCAAAGGATTTGACTCCCAAATTTTTAGTTTTGAGTTACTAATTTTTAGAGAAGGGACACAATGGAGAATAGCAGGTTTCAGCACGAAAATCAGAAATCATTTCAAATTTTGTTTGCTTGTGAGATGTTTGAATAGATAGGTCAAATAATTCAATTTTCAAGGTAAACACTTAAAAAGGAAGGCCTGTGTTAATGGTTATGGTTCCCAACAATATATAGATAGTGTATAATTTTATGAGAATTGCTTCACCTGTACGGTTGTAAATTAGTATCTCAGTAAGTTAGTGATATTCATGTTGTGACATCACCATCCAGAATCATTGTCAAACTTCTCATTACCACAAACACTGCTTTCTACACAATGGCTTCCTCCATCCCATCTCTTATAACCACGTGATCAACTTTGTATCAGTGCATTTGTCTATTGTTTTTTCACATAAGTATAGTCTTACAATACTAGTTCTTTTGTGATTGACTTAATTTGCTAAGCATAAAATTGTGGAGATCCATTTATGTAATGGCATGGATCAGGACTTTATTTTTCTTTAAGGCTGAGTAGTGTTCCATTTTATGCATGTAGGTATGTACATACCACATTTTGTTTATTCATTTATTGATGGGTGCATAAGTTTTCTCCACCTTTTGGCTATTGGGTATATGAATATGGGTGAATGAATTGTTGCTCTTGGAGAATTGCTGAGCCATCTGGTAATTTTAATTATAGTTTTCTACTCTAGCTGTATGGCTGCCATTTTGTATTCACACCAGTAATGGATAAAAGTTCCAGTTTCCCCACATCCTGTAAAACACTTGCTAATTTCCAGGTTTTTTGTTTTTTATTTTTATCTTTAGCTATCATTTTAAATCTTTGCATTATTCAATTAACCAACTCCTTTCTGAAAATATATCCCATACTTAGATCATGTATGCAAGATGACATGATCAATGACATCCATTATAACATTCTTTACAGTGGCAACATTTGTAAACAGCCTGAATGTCCCCCTGTGGGCTAGTTTGATATATTTTTGAATACATAGTTAGGGTCCAATACTTTAGAGACATTAAATGGAAGACAATAACTCTTTTACTGATTTATAATGATAGTCAAGATGTATTATTAAAGACAGTGAAGAGGAAAATGATACAGGAGGAAAAGGGAATAAGTTTTATAGAAAAGACTTTCAGTAGCTATAGGAGAAAGGAGGTGATCCAACTGGAAAACCAAAGGAATAAAATAAAAGTCCCTATGACTGAGTGAGATGTCACTGAAAATTGAGAGAGAGAAAATGGGACTCGGAGGAATAATGAAGGGGATTTTGCTTTTAGTTAGAAAGGAATGAGAACCGGGGGGTTGGTTTTCCTTTTTGCAAGTTGCTAACATCTTGTAGCAGGCAGTTGGATCCTCATTTCTGCTACTTCATCGGATCTGTTATAGTATATTACATGTTACATATCCTTTGGAAAACTCCTGTCTGTATAGTTTTGATCTTGGGCCCTAGACCATATTTGAGGTGCTTCTGCTGTAGTCTTAACGCATGTTAGGAAGCCACAGTCGACAGTTTCATTTTTCACTGACATACATTACTAAGGAGTTGAGATGATGAAGGTTTGGGCCTTGTCTGTATCAGGGGCTTCCTTTGAAGAATGTGAGCTTAGAAAAAAAAATTGTGAATTTCCTATGCAGATAGGGTTCACTCCTTAAGTTCTGACATAAATCGAAAAGCTCATTTTTAAATTTTATAATTTTTATTATTATTGCCTTTAATTATCAGTATCTTTATAAGAAGACTTTTTACTTGTCTTTGGGGTATAGAAACATTACATCTTAGAGTGATACATCAGCAAATTATGAGCTATAACATTTATACAGTCATACCAGTGGACTTCAAAAAAGTTCATAGAAAACTTCCCCTCTCTTAATTCCATTTAAAACTTTTGAAGCCCCCTCATATTATTAACAAGATATTAAAAATTAAGTAATTAATTAAAACCAATAACAACAAGTATCAAACCGTCCAAAGTGCAGATCGTCATAGCTGGAATATGTTGTGTCAGAAGCTACTTGTATTTGCATTAGTTTGATTACACTCAGGCTAAAATGGTATATGAAATACTCCTGGATAATTAAGCATAGATGTAGTCAGTCCACTTTCTTAACTTTTAGACAACAGTGTACAGAATTCTACTTTTAAACTAGGAAAAATCCCAATTACTCTTTTATACTTCTTTTCATTCGCTAAATGATGAAATGCCTACTTTCCTACTGTCTGCTATGAATTGAAATAAACTCAGTGATGGGGGAGTTGAATTTTTATTAGTCTGTGCTTACAGAGATCTCAGGGCAGGCATTGTTTTCCCATAAGACTTAGAAATAAAGAAGTTGGCAAATGGGCAAAATAACACTTCTGGGGTTAATGTGAAATTAAAATATGACTATTGAACAATTTAAAGTGACCAGAACATTGCAGAAAGTCACTCCATTTTAGCTCTTTTCCCTTTCCGCCCTTAAGGTGATTGTAAGACTGTTTCTCTCCCTTTCTAGGGGGTAGCTTTTGTCTCTAGCTTTGTCTCTCAGCTTTGAGAACATTGGGTTACAGTTATTGTAGATACATGAAGAGATGATAGAAGGAGTTTATTTAACTGTTCCCTGTATTTTAAAACTCCGTCTAGTGATTACCTAACTGTGGAAGGTCTGCAGCAAGATGACTGGTGGTTTTAAACATGACCACCTCCTTTCTTAATAAATGGACTCTATTATGGATATAGCTTTATATGGAAAACAAAATAACGATGACTTTCACCCAGACTCTACATAACTTTAATCTTTACAATTTTGTGAGGTTAAGTAACATCCAAGAGATTGTCATTTTTCTTTTTTTTAATCAGCTTGTCATTTTTCTTGTAGTCTTATCTGGTCTATGTTTTGGGTTGTTTTTTTTTCTCTAGACAGTTCAGTTTGTTCAGGGGATTTTTGTCGAAAAATATGACCCAACGATAGAAGATTCCTACAGAAAGGTAAGATGTGAAACTTGTATAATCATTCTTCCAAGTGACTCTTTATGACTTTAAAACTTTGTGTAATTGTTTTCGTCATTTTAAGTACTCTTGAGAAACATGCAGATGTTCAACATCTATTTTTAAAAGCTTCACTAAGACAAAATGTTTCTCCTGGAAGACCATCTAAGTATACAAGGCCCCGTGCTCTGTTACTGAGGAGTAACCTCTTCTTGAGTGTGCACGTTTTCTAAATGGAGAAAAGTTGAAAGTAATTAGTATTTTTTAAAAATTTTTGTGGGTTAAAGTTAAGATTACTTTTATACTTGAAGGTTAAGCTTGTGATTGAAAATTTAATTTTTGTTTAGTTGTATTATTACCTTGAAAGATATTTCAACTTTAAACTACAAAAAACTAGGTCATGTCATTCTGCCACCCCACCTCCAAAATCTACTTAATTATAAGATTACTTAGAATGATGCACAATTTTCATGCTTTTATTTCTCAGATGTATATGTGGGAACTATATACAGTATAGGAAAATTGAAATGAAAAATAATGGGAATTTTCCACTAGCTTTTTTTAAGCACTTTCATGTTATAGGAAAGAAGATAATATTTAAGAAAGATTAGAAACTGTAAAAATACTAGGAAACAAATGTTTTTAAAGATTGAACTGCAATGAATGTACAAATGTGCTTTACACAATTGATGTATATATGGATTGTGATAAGAGTTGAATGAGCCCCTAATAAAATAATTTAAAAACTGGGGGAAAAAGATTGAACTAACCTTTCAACAAATAGCAACCAGTGACCCCAAGGGTTTGTGGTTTGAAGTGTATCCCGGGGTGATAGTCAAGAGTCTACCGATCTGAATTAGCCCAGTACGTGTCGGCTCTTTAAGAAGGGCTCTGTGTAAGGTGGCCATGGCTGGAATGGTTGACAGTGGTCTCGGCCCTCATCGAGTTCTGCTGGGTGACCACTCACCTTTTAAAGCTAACACATAAAGACCCAAGAATTACACATAGCACATAATTACACATAATAACACATAAGAATTACCCCAGAGCTTTAGTGATCAGAAACTATCTACATTATACATCAGCAGTCTTGGCTTCAGTGATTTTAATAGCATGTGTTTGAAGCCTCCTCTTCAGTCCCAGCCAATACAGCAAATGCACTGGAGAAAATCATTGCACTTTTTCATTATGTACTTTGAATGAAGAGGAGAAAAGATAACATTTAATTTTACCTTCTCATTTTTCCCTTTTTCTACACAGCAAGTTGAAGTAGATTGCCAACAGTGTATGCTCGAAATCCTGGACACAGCAGGGACGGTAAGGATACTCCCCCCCCCCCCGCCCCTTTTTTCTGGAGGGGTACAGTAGATTTTAATTTGCAGAACAGGTTTTCATAAATTGTCTAATGTATATAAAATCATTTGTTATGTACTTAATTCTGTTCTCAAACACTTAACCAAGAGTTTTCTTCCAATTCTGCTATTCATTGTACTGGTTCCTAGTCTGATAACTAGGGAACAGGGAAATCGTGTATTATGTCTTAAGCTGTTAGTCATGGTGACCTTCTGTACAGTACAGCAGACACTGCCGGTCCAGCCATGCTCGCAGTTGTTCCTGTGTTCCGAGTTGTCCCACTGTTGCGGGAACTGTGTCAGTTAAAAGATCCCATAGCTTACTCACGATGATTGGTATTTCAATTGCTCCAGAATACATTCAAGATGTCAGATATAATTGCATGCTTTTGATTCTAGGAACAATTTACAGCAATGAGGGATTTGTATATGAAGAATGGCCAAGGATTTGCACTAGTATATTCTATTACAGCTCAGTCTACATTTAATGACTTACAAGACCTGAGAGAACAGATTTTACGGGTTAAGGACACAGAAGATGTAAGTATACTTCCAACTCAAATAAGTCATACTATAGTTTCTGTGAGTGATTTAAAATGTTTGTTTTCTGTAAATTAGTTGAGAATTTGGAGGGTGTCTACCAGGTAAAAGGACCTCTCTGCTGGCAGGTGGGGGGTTCTAAATTAGCTTACAGGTTATATCCTGAGATGGATTGTAAAATGAGGGACTACATGCTCTTTGCTCATTGTGCTATATGGGTAGTAAGTGCATAGAGAAAGCGGAGGAAAGTGTTAAGACTTTCATTAACTGAGTTTTTCCTTTATTTTGTTAATTTTATTTTTGTTTTAGGATTCTTGACCTTTTTGAATCATATTTTTGTTTTTTTAAGGGACAAGTTATTTCCATGTTTGCATTAGTTTTGAACTACAGAGTTTTCTTTTCAGCTATCAATTAGGAAATGAAATTGTGATTCTACCTGTCTGTGTCTGTGTGTGTTCTCTGTAATTATTATTGTGAGCGTATGCATCCACTCAGGACCTTGACTTTGGGTAATGTGGTAGACAGGAGGAATTTATACTGAATGACCCATGCCCAGCCGTAACCTGATGAATACTTTTTTCCTTCCTGTGACTAATTTATGCAAGCAAGTTCTGTTTTCATAGACAGAGGTATGCAACTCACTGAACTCTAGTAATGTTAATCCCTTATATTTTATGGAATGAACTGAAAAAAATACGGTTGTCGATGTTGAAATTATCATGTGTTAAACATTCTAGGCCTATTTTTGGTATAATAGCCATCATGTTTCTTGTGTAGTTTTGTTTTGGTAAAGTGTCCTTGACATTACAAAAGATTTTGTTGTCTGGAAACGCACCTTTGTTAGCTGCTCATTTTATTGGAAGTAGGAAGTTGATTGTACATGCTACGGAGAAAAATGGAAATATAATGCTCTTTTGTGACATTATTTTTAATTTTTAATCCTCTGATCATTGTTGGACCTGTGAGTTGAAGCACCTTGACTCACACTTAGGCTTTTTCTGTACTGCAGGGGATTCCTTGCCCTTGGGATTTTTATGCTTGGGTTCCGCTATAATACTAGCCACGTGAAATTTTTAGTGGTATAATCTTAATTTAGCAGTTGAATGTATGTGGTACTTCTGCATTGCTTTTCTGCCTTCCTGTCCATCTAGTGCCTCCTCCCCACCCCGACCACTGCACACCCATGTACCTGTGTTTTAAGTACTGGGCAGGGAAGCATACAATCTCAGCTGATACATTTCAGTTAGTGGCAGGTAGTTGCTTACTTGTAAGAAGCTAATGGGTAAAAAATATGTCAGTGCTCATTATATGTTTTCCTTTTCTCTTTTCTCAGGTTCCAATGATTTTGGTTGGCAATAAATGTGACCTGGAAGATGAGCGAGTAGTTGGCAAAGAGCAGGGTCAGAATTTAGCAAGACAGTGGTGTAACTGTGCCTTTTTAGAATCTTCTGCGAAGTCGAAGATCAATGTTAACGAGGTAACCTACAGCTATGGACAACACAAAAAAATGTCTTTTAAAATTTAGTTTCCTTTAAGATGACAATAACAAAAATGTTTTTTAAACAAAATTTTAATGCCTTTTGCCCTTTTAATTGATCTAGGTTATTGTAAAGAAAACAATAATTTCAGGAACTAGTATTTGCATAAGACCACTTCGATCGTTATAATGAGAGCACTTAAATTTACCTTACTGGAAAAGAGGATGTTCAAATTTACAACTGGTGTTTCTAAATGATATACAGAAAGTAGAGTCTGAAAATTGTCACAGTACCCTTTTGTTATAACCAGTATCTCGGCTACAATGTGGAAGACGAAAATAGAAGGCTTAAAGTACTTATTATAATGAGTTTATTTTATAATGATGTATATAGATAGTATATACATCAACAGCACAGACTTTGGTATCCTGAGCCGCACATGACCTTGCAGTGCACAAATAGCTGAATAACTGACTCAAAGGGAGGCATCCGTTTGTATGTACTGGAGTTGTGTCAGATATGTGGGACCATGTAATTGTAATTCACTCACAGTTCAGATAACGCAGAGGTAATAGGCCCTTTTTTTTTTGGCCTCTGAGAACATAACTGTGGATGGAAGTATTCAAACAGGTAAGCTGCTTCCCTCGATACACAGGGCCAAAAGTTTCCCAGGCCCCTATATAAATAGTGCAATGTCCCATTGCCTCCATCAACCATTTATCTGCAATGCAAAAATGATTGAATCTTTATTAGCCTGTGTGCTCGTCCTTTGTAACATCACAAAGTAGAGAATTTAGATTCCTTAAGCCAGAGAACAGAGTAAGGGTGGATTAGGTTATCAGTCTGATGAGGTTTTTTAATGTTTTGTTTTTCCTTACTGTTCCTCTCTAACCTTTGGTTTTGCAGGTCATTTTCCCCTGTAATACTATTTTTAGACTATTGTTGCCTGGCTTTAAAAATTACCAGATAATTTTAAATACTTGGCAAGAAAAAAATTAAGCTTGCCACACAATTTCTGTCAAGAATGTCAAAGCTTGCTTTTTTTAATGTAAAACCAATTTTAATAAGTACACAAAAACAGAACGTTCATAGTTTTTATTTCTCCAAAGAGTCGTCCAGACAGACCCTGTTCCTGCCTGAAAGAACTTTACCTCCCAGTGGGTGACAAGTCCTGCTGATATCTCCAAAGCCAATTATTTCCCTTTCCCCGACAAGTCCATGAAAGGCAGTTTTATAAGCTTCCAGCTCCAGCTATCTCTGGTGGTAGAATCCGTTTCCTAGATGTTATTTTGAAAAATGGAGCTAATCATAAAAGCTTCATTTTTAGCAGTCTTAGGTTTCCAAAGGAAAATCGAGACCCTTAAATCATTTTAAAATAAAGCACATTCGCTTTGGTAGATGTACTGGTACTTGGATGTACAGTCGGCAGATGCTTGGCCTTACCAACCCCTTGCTGTCCTGGCCTCACCCTTGCTGATAACCCTCCCATCAATGTTTGAGGGGGAAACTAGGTAGGGCTGGGGCCTAGTGCTAGGATCTCCTCCTACGGGAGCTGAAACACTATGGAAAGGAGCCGTTTCTCCCCCTTTAGTAGTAGTCTGTTGGGGGAACCTCCATGCTAGGAAGCTAGCCCCTTGGTACGGCCTCCCATGCAGCAGCACTGTCTTTCTAGAGCAGCCTTGTAACGCCAGCCCTTGACATGAGGGTTTCTGAAAGAAAACTACTGAACTAAAACAAAATGAAACTGTATTAGCCACCTGAAGCACCTTTATTTGTGGGGAGAAAAGAATGCAGATTCCATGCTAGTTCTTGAGAGTGTAATTAATCATTTGCATTTCTTTCTATGTATTTTATCGCCTTATAATCCAGCTTCAGGGTTCCTCTGATCATTAACAGGTCTTAGACAGCTAAGACCTCGCAAATGTGTGTGATTGCTGAATTTCTAAAAATAAAGGGATGGTACTTTCACAAGATTAAATTCTTGGCCTCAAGTTTGACAACAGCCCAGGCGTCGGCTCCCGAGCCCTCTGTTACTCTGGTGTTCTTTTTAGCTCTCCTCCACAACATGCCTCCTGTGTTCTGAAACGGTAGTGCACAGCTGTACCAGAATCACACCCCTCCCTTGATTCCACTCAGCAACTCCTCACTCACTGCGGAAGCTGGAAT